GATGTTTTATGTGAAAAAATTTTTCATGCGCTCACTAATCTGACGGATTTTCACAATTCCCTAGATGTTAGTTTTTTATCCGATGACGATCATTCAATTTCAAACACCGACAGTGCACCGACGCCTGTAGGTCTAAGTTCTTCTGTTCTCCCCTTCCCCTCCCTCCACGGCGCCAAGCCCAAATCGCGTTGTTTTCTTCTGACGCGGAAGTAATAAATTTGAATTCGAGTAGCTCCGGTGTTTATATGACGGCGAACACCGAGATTCGCGAGATGAGTCATGATTTATGGTTTATTTTGAGAGATCTTTCAAGCACTTGCAGAAACTTTTCAGGCAATGATTCCTATTCAGTCCGTGCTTTTTTTCAACGATATAGAGGCCCCAAATCTTACCGACCAGCAAAAATTAGTTTTTGCGAAACGACTTGTTGTGGGTACTGCTAAAACTTTTTTGTTCTCACAACGGAATCTCAATTCATGCGACATGTTTAAAACAGTATTACTTAATGAGTTCTCCGATAAAATTACTTCTATTGAAATTCATAAACAACTCGAAAGAAGAAAAATGCGCTCGAATGAAAGCTCTTTGCAATATTTTATCGCAATGCGCGAAATCGTGGTGACGGTGTTATCGACGAGGCTTCTGTTATTCAGTATACCATTCAAGGAATACTAGGTACCCCATCCGATAAAATTATTCTCTACGGTGCAAAATCATATTCTGAATTCAAGGAAAAGCTACGCACTTATGAATTTGTAGTTATGACTAGACATACAAATATCTCTCATCCATCAAATTTTAAAAATACGAATAATGGCCCCAGACATGGTACTGGACGCAAAAATTCAGACCAACAACACGACACGAAATTTAATAATACTGGTCCATCTAAAACTAAACCCCACAAACTTGTTTTAACTGCAATGAGGTCGGACACCTCTCACGGTGCTGTCCTAATCGTTCTTTTGGCCCAAAGTGTCTAACTTGCGGTCGTTTTGGACATAAATCTATGGATTGCCGCCTCACTACATCAAATGAGACTTCCACTCCACCTGCCGAAGTAAATACAGTACAAACATCTCACGGTAATATGTGTAAAACTGTCGTTATACTCAATAGCACAATTTCTGGATTAATTGACACTGGAAGTGAGGTCACATTACTGAACGAAACACATGGATTCAACTTGGTTCCCCACCACTTTCAAATAATTCTGGAGTGTTAACTGGTTTCGGATTCTCGAAAATTCCTATTATTGGCTATTTTCAAACCATTATCAACATTGATAATCAGGACTTTCCGGCTAATATTAGAGTTGTTCCAAATCATTCTATGCAATTTTCTCTTATTGTAGGATGTGACATAATTACAAATGCTAAATTAACTATTACACCAGACGGTATATATTTTTCAAAACCTTCCGAGCAATGCTTTGAAACTGCTCCTGAATCTTTCATTTTTGCAATAAATGACGATGTTCCAGCTTTTGATATTGGTTCAAATGTTTCCAAAGAAACTCGTGCTGCGGCGGAACGTTTGCCGAATTCGTATGTCCCAAATAAAACAAAGACGACAGATATTAAACTTAATATCACTCTATCCGATTTTTCACCCTCCTAGACGCCTTCCTTTTGTTGAACGGGAAATTGTTGACAAACAAATAAATGAATGGTTGAAACTTAAAATAACTGAACCTTGTTCATCTCCATATGTCAGTCAAGTTCTCGTGGTGCGTAAAAAAGATGGTACACCCCGTGTTTGCATCGATTATAGGAAACTTAATCGACTTTTAATTAAGGATCATTTTCCTCTTCCTCTTATTGATGACATTTTGGATAAACTTCAAGACGCGCAAATTTTTAGTACTCTTGACCTACGTAACGGCTTTTTTCATGTGCCAGTAGCGGACGAAAGTAAACCATATACAGCTTTTGTAACTCACAACGGACAATTCCAGTTTCTTCGAATGCCATTTGGTCTTTCAAATTGCCCTTCAGTATTCCAGCGCTTTATAAATTATGTTTTTCGTGATTTAATTGTCAAAGGTTATGTTTTACCCTACATGGACGATGTAGTTATTCCCGCCAAAAATGAAAATGAGGCCATTCATCGTCTCAACCAAGTACTCAAAGTTGCTAGTGAATATGGTCTAGAAGTTAATTTTCGTAAATGTCAATTTCTTCACAAAAAAATCGAATTTCTTGGACATATCGTTGAAGGTGGTAAACTTTTTCCTTCCCCTTCGAAAACAAAATCTGTAATTAACTACCCCGAACCTAAGAGAACGAAAGACGTCCAACGCTTTCTCGGTCTCACGGGATATTTTAGGAAATTCATCCCCTCATATTCTAGCATTGCAAAACCCCTTAGTGATCTCCTTCATAAGGACACCCCCTTTCAATTTCATGCTGATCAGAAAGCCGCATTTCACAGATTAAAATATTTGCTTTCTCAACAACCAGTTTTAAGTATTTTTAATCAAAAGAGTCCTATCGAAATTCATACTGACGCATCCATTGATGGCTTGGGGGCAGTCCTACTACAAAAATCAATGAACGATAACAGCTTTCACCCTGTCTACTACATGTCAAAGAAAACATCGGACAATGAGCGTAAATACACCAGTTATGAACTCGAAGTCCTTGCAATTGTTGAAGCTTTAAAAAAGTTCCGTATTACGTCCTTGGTACACATTTTAAAATTATCACTGACTGCAACGCTTTTGTACAAACTTTAAATAAAAAGGAACTCAATTCGAGAATAGCCCGATGGGTTTTATATCTCCAAGATTTTGACTACGAAATTGAGCACCGTACCGGCTCAAAAATGGCTCACGTGGATGCCCTCAGTCGCAGTCCACGTTGCATGACTATCCAAGACAGTGTCCTTCTCCAATTTCGCAAAGCACAAGAAACCGACGAGCATATTACAGCTATTAAAGCACTCCTTCAGACGCCGCCTTTGTATGATAACTTTCTCGTTAAGAACAATCTCCTGTACAAAAACGTCAATGGCATTGACTTACTTGTGGTGCCTGAGGATATGCAGGCAAATGTCATTAAAGCAGCTCACGAACGAGGCCACTTCGCCGTAATCCGCACTCAAGAACTTTTAAACAGCGAATATTTTATCCCAAATCTGAAAGAAAAAATTGAGCGGTGTATCCATAACTGCATCCCATGCATCCTCAATAATCGAAAGCGTGGCAAACAAGATGGACTACTGCACCCCATTGAGAAAGACGACGCACCCTTGCACACGTACCATATTGACCACCTAGGTCCCCTTGCCACCACATCAAAGAAATACAAACATATTTTGGCAGTTATAGACTCGTTTACTAAATTCGTGTGCCTTTATCCGACAAAGTCTACAGACGCAGATGAAGTTATCAGTCGGCTGGAATCTCAAAGATCAGTCTTCTGAAATCCTTTGCGGATTATCTCTGATCGAGGCCCTGCATTCAAATCCACTGCATTTGCAAACTATTGTGACACACAGAGAATAAAGCACGTTCTTATTACAGCTGGCCTCCCACGATCGAACGGTCAAGTTGAGCGTTTGAACTCCATTATTATTGCTGTCCTTTCTAAACTCTCCATAACCAACCCTGAGCAATGGTACCGCCATGTTCCCGTTGTGCAACAAATTATTAATTAAACTTTTCAACGTAGCATCAATTCTACTCCCTTTGAACTTCTCTTTGGGACTAAAATGAAATCGCAAAACGACATAAACATCGCTGCTCTAATCGACGAGGAGATCAAATCTGCATTCATTCAGCAACATGACGATCTCCGTAAGGACGCAAAACAGCAAATCTCTAAAGTGCAAGACGAAAATCGCCGTACTTATAATTTGCGACGAAAACAGGCACAAAAATTTCAACTGCATGACCTCGTGGCTATCAAACGAACTCAGTTTGGCCCTGGTCTAAAACTCAAACAGAAATTTCTCGGACCTTATAAAGTCACCAGGCTCAAACAAAATGACACATATGATGTGGAAAAGTGTGCATTTTTCGACGGACCATCCAAAACATCTACTTGTGCTGAATACATGAAACCCTGGTCCAACAATATTGAACGTATCACTTGATTTTTATACAACTGTCAGCATTATAGGTCCTCCTGTGTTTGGACAGATGACACCTGAGAACTTTCTAATAATTTTTTTTCCTCATATCAACTTTTTAATTCATTTTGTCATACTAATGTTCTTTTTATTTTTAGTTAACTGCTGTGGTGTGTTTAATCTATTTTTTTGCTTCGTTTGTGTAAGTATCCTCAGCTTTGTATCTACAGATTATTTTTTCTCATACCTATGTTACTAAATTATAATAATTTTTTTAATTTGATGATATACTATGTTGCTTCAGGCGAGGTCACCTGTCCGGTCATGATGGCCGAATGTGGGAAATGTTGTCATGATATTCCCTAATCCCCTACTGTGTGATGTATGCATTGCATCAGCATGTGTTTCCCGCCTTCGAGAGAAGACGAGGATTAACTGGCGAGCGGAGCAGATGTTGCTCGATCGCTCGTATACCATTTTCATTAATTGTAATCCTAATGTAATCTATATTTGTAAATAGTAATAAATGTGTGTTATCAACTATGGTCATTGCCTTTCCCCACATATATATGCATATTTAACATTTTTGAATAACATAATTAGGTTTTTTAACTAACAAGATATGGAATAATCCCATTTTGACATCTATCAACTCAAGTTTACTAATAACTTTGTGAAAAGAAATGAAATAAATTAATCACTTTCTTTGGGACATTGAGTAGTTTTGGCTTACCTTACATTTTATTTGCATAAGAACTGTACTACTCATTTGCGAAAACCATATGTAGCTCGCATATATATCATACAACTTCAAGATAATAATTCCATGCTACAACTGCAATTACTTGTTACATGTTCAGTATCATCTTACTGATGTAAACTCAGGCATGTAAATCTTACTTGAAATGAAGAAATGGAATTTCAAATTTTATATGAGTAAGTGGCATCAACATTTATTTCAAACATGTGGCCATATTTCACCTTGCTGGTGTTCACAGTTATTTAATAATACATGTACTAGTTTGTTTAGGATCATATAACATACCACATCCTAAAAAATGTTTTTCTTGATATACCAGCTTGGCAGATATGCTTTAAAATTGGTTTCTGGACATTAATTTGTTATACAAATAATATGGTTGAAGATTATATTATGTAGTACATTATAAAAATAGTAATGCTGAAATAATAAGTGTAACAAAGTGCATCATTTGAATACTATTTCATTTATATAATTGTTCAAAAAATAGAATTCTTTGTGAACTACATATTTATTTATCAAACAAAAATACTGTAATAATTGGTCTTTCAATAAAATGTTCGTGGAACACATACATTTAACCATTAAATTTGTCGCATATAAATATATATTCTTATTCAATGAAAAAATGTGACATTTTAAGTCAGGTTTTTTTTATGATACACTGTTTCAAGAAGCATCAAATGCAGACTAGATAATATTTAAATCTACATCATCATATAGCTCTTCACAATGGCCATAAAAATTAACATTAAAATGTCACTTTCTAAATGTATCAAGTAATAAAAATTATATTGATCAAAATAAAATGTATTTAAATACACTGTTCAATTAAACAATAAAGTTAATTGAAAACAATACAAAAATTATAAATAATAATCAATATACTTTAAAATCAAAGTTTTTTTAATAGTAAGTACATCATTTTTTAGAAAAATCTCATTAAAAATATTAAATTATACGAAACCTGCTTTACTTAATACATAATGAACATGAAACATAATTTTAAAATTCTCAACCAATCTAAAAATTTATACAATTCAATACAAAGACTATTTTGATAAAGAAGTTTAGAAGTCCTTGGAAAGATATTCCTTCAGAGAAAATTAAATAAAATGAAACACTTTGATCAAGGAGGTAATTCTACTATAATTGATCACACATTTGCATTTCACACACTTGCTGACATACAAAAATTGACTAATCAAACAATGAAAATAAATTATAACCTTATATTTTAATACTGCTAATGACAATTTTTACAAACTTCTTTAAATTATTTGGGTTATATTGAAAAAGCTATAAAATGTGCATTATTGAAGAAAATAATATATTATAATATTGATATTTTAATGAAACAGGAACACTCTAAATTTATTAAAATAGAAGAGTATTTTCTCGGACAAGAGTATTTTATTACAACTCAGAGTGTGGAGAGTTATATGGAGCATCTTTAAACTCTTCAGGGACATCTTCATCTTCACTCTTTTTCATGTAAAATCCTTTATCAAGTAGTAATTGTTTACATTCAGTTTGGCTTTTTTCACTCAGTGGAATTCTCTAAAAAATGATAATGAATTAATTCTTTTGGTATCACAAATTAAAACTAATGCACAGAAACTCCTTTGCTAATCATACAATATAAAAATAAAAGTCAAAGTATTGTGAAATATTCTATTCATTTTAAAACAAGGTAACAATGCCAGGGCTAAATTAATGAACATAGATGACACATATACATGTGACTGCTGTTGAGAACATTTTGCATGTATATATAAAAGTTTATGTGTTTTGAGGGCATCTTTATTTATATTTTTGTTATTTGGCAGAAGTGAGGTTCCAGGAAAAAAAACCACAAGAATAATGCTCACAGGAAAAAAGCCCACACAGAAATGTGCCCATATAGAAGAATACTCACATGGAAAAAAGGCTCACATGGAAATAAGCCCACTGATAAATAAAATAGTAGAAATATCCTTACATTAATTAATCGATTTGAACATCGTACACCTATTTGAATTTTTTTTAAGAAAAATTATTTGATCATTTGAAAAAATTATTGGACAAATGCTCATATTAACCTTCTCAGGGGCAGTATATAAAAGAATGAAAACTATAGTAAAATTTTGCATGTACTGTAATATTTTATACCACTGCCCCCCCCCCCCCGTACAACTACCAATAGTTTATTTTTGTTTTTTATTTACTCTATTTTTGCATACTTTTGATGTGTAGCTATAGAAATTGATGTCTGAATAGAGTTATTTAAGTTTGGAGCCAAAAAAAGTTCTCGAAGACCACAGTTTTCAATTGTGTGGCATCATTATGAAGCAGCCTTTGAAAAATCTCCTAAAAAAACAAATTATTACGAAAGCTTTCATAAGGTACTAAATTCATTATATAATTGTAGACATCCTAGTACGTGGGTTTTTTTTTTTTTTTTTTTTTTTTTTTGATGGACTGAAAAAAAGATTTAGCCTGTCAACGTTTATTACTAGCTGAAGTAAAAATATAAAAAAAATATGAAAATTTGCATTTGGTAATCGCAAATCATGTAAGAAACTATGAAGAAATCGATGATAAAATTAGATATTTACATATATTAGCTAATATTCAGTAACTTTGTAGAGACATTAGGTATTTTGGAAGCAGGAGATGCAAAAAATGAGCAAAGCCTTTGTTGGGAATCGTATCATGGACCTCTGGAATAGGCGCCCAGCGTGCAGACCACCACACCACGAAGGCATGCTAGGAAGGCGGGAAAAATACCTTATATACTCCTCCTTTTAAAGGGTGACTGGGGTTTTTAGGGGATCAAATCACCAAATCTTGGGTGTAGAGAATCATCATCCACAACCCTCTTAGTTCGGGCGCCGCTGTAGAGACATTAGGTATTTTGGAAGCAGGCGATGTGAAAAATGAGCAAAGCCTTCCCGGAAATTGAACCACGGACCTCTGGAATATGTGCCCAGTGTGCAGACCACCACACCACGAAGGCGGGAGAAATACCTTAAAGTTTATGCGAAATATACATGATTTATATATAACAAGGTCTTTTACATGATTTAAATAAATTAATTATTTCTATTTGCTTATTTTTCTAAATGTTTATATTGTAACTTATAATTACTATTATTTTTTTTAACAATTAAAATTGTAATTTTTCGCTGAATATTCTGTTTCATTTTCCTTCCTTCCTCTTCTCTTTTTCCCAATTCAAAACAGCCCATTTGTTAATCTTATATAGCAACTAAATCTATACACAAGTTATACAGTTTTTGATATATGCATATACCATAGATGTTTTGGTAGTTTAAATAAATTTTTTTTTGAAAAATTCAAGTAGCTGTACGATGTTCAAATCGATTAATTACTGATTGATTAATTTAAGGATATTTCTACGTATTTTATTTATCAGTGGGCTTATTTCCATGTGAGCATATATCTATGTGAGCATATTTTTAAGTTAGGCTTTTTTTCCTGTGGGCATTTACACCTATGAGCATTATTCTGTGAGCATTTTTCCAGTCACCCAGAAGGGGACATAACTTCATATCGTCCTACACAATTTCTTGCCAAATTCTCTCTAATTGCTGAGTTCAAATCCCAAATGGAGAGGAATATGGAAATCTAGATACAACACATTTGGCAAGTATGAAGATAAGCAGTAGAAATGATTGTCTCATGTGGTTGGCCATTATCCTGTAGCTATGTTGGCATGGGATACTCTGAAAGGAAGAATAATGCAACAGGTGGATAGAATATGGTCAACATAACATCATGCTGTAAGATGTCACAAATGACAACAAAAGGAGTCTATCATATGAAATTGTAGCATCTGATTTCGAGAGTATCAGTACTCTCGTACCCGAGAACCTCTGTGTGCGAGAGTAGAGTAGAATGTAATGTAACTGCATAAACAGCGCATTGCTGCTGTCTTATGAGTTAGTTAGAAATAAATGTTTGTGCCGTGAACTAGTCTGTTTTGGTTGCGCCATGCATTTCACTGAACCCACACCACTAGACACAACAGAAATGGCCCCTCCTCTCAGACCATAATTCCCTATTGTCATGCAATAGGTCAATATTCACTGCTGTCTTCTTTAGATACTTCTCCACTTGCCATCAAGGCATAGCTTAAAGCAGAACTTATTGCTCAAGACAGTTCTACTCCAGTCAGTAAGATTTTAAGTTGAATGAGATCATTACCACCACATTTATATCTGCCATTTTACAAAGGTGAGAGGCAGTTGGTGCCACCTCATGTACTTGCACTTTAGCACTCTTCTTATTTCTTCTCCATGAAATACTACTGGAAAGTTTTAAAGCTCTCTTTTTGTTTAGCCCTTTCCTTTAAGTAATAGAATAATCCGCTAAAATTTGATGATATATGTTTACTGGTAATGTAGGAGCTGCTTTTCTGCTGCTAGATTTACTAAGTGACATGGCAACCTATAATGAGAGATTCCTTTCAGTGTTTTTCAGAAAGGTTGCCACACCTTTCATTATGACCCAGTATAATTATGAATTATCTGCACATAAAGAAACAGCAGTTATAAGAATATTTAATTTACTCAATCCATTATAATCAACACAAAAACATTCTAACAGTTGAATCACCAACTAAATTTAGAGAACACAAAAGAGCTATTTTTATTTCGCCCTCTGCCTCATTCAAATAGGTTGCAATAATTGAATACATTTGTAATCATTTTCATTACTTCCATCAACAAAAACGGAGAAAACAAATACTTATCAGGTCTTTTTTGGTGAACATTTGCCATATCACTAAGAATGACAGAAGTTCTTCAATATTTTTTTGCTACATCTGAATCAAGACACTTATGTTGCAAAATGTTTAAGTATTTTACTTTCATAATTCTTTACCAAATTTTCAATATTTGATATTTATTTTATTTGATTTTTCTCACCATGAGATATTATAAAATCACACCCACATGACAAAATGCTTAAATATTTCACATTCATAATTCTTTAATACACAAAAATATATTCTTCTAATAAGCTGATCTAAAAATACTGGCAATGTTGATTTTTACTCATTTTATCATGCAAATTTTATTAAACCACATGCAAATAATGTTTGACAATCCTTGATACATTTTACAACTGCCAATTCACAGCACATTTCCAGGTTGTCTTGACAAAAACTTTGTTGAAAAAAATTGTCAGATGAGGAAGTTATATAATTTAAAACAAGAAAATAGGAAGATAAATGCTTTCATTTCACATAATTTTATAACAATACCATAAACCTGATAACATCACAATAACATTAGTATATTTGGAGAAAAAAAAAAGTGAAGAAATTGCAAATCAACTTAAATGCTGCTAGGCTTTTTTAAAGACAGCAAAATGGTAATCTAGTGATGCTAGTAATCTAGCCAGATCTAGCGATGCATAATATAAGAATGTGGAATCAGTGAAACACTAAAACATTTCTTTCTGCCCCCCTCCACAAAAGTGGATTTGTATGAGCATGTGATGAAGAATGATAATCCCATTGTCAATTTTTGGGATTATCATTCTTCATCACAGCATCATTCTTCAGCACATGATCTAATGGTAAACTGGAACTCTAAAGAGATTAAAGTTTGAAAGTAGGTATACAACTGAATTCCAAACGAAAAAAAAAAAACAGATGTTCATTAACAGATGAGGACTGGAATTTTTAATCAAATTTAAGCTGGCATGATTTTACAGACTATTAAAAGAGAATACTAATATTCTGAATAATTTTAGCACAATAAAAAATTAATACATAGAAAACAAACTAATAATGACGAAGCAGCAGTTTATTTATAAATTATCTTTTTTTAAGCTTTATATTCTTCAATAAAAATTTTCAATATCTCTATTTGACCAAAGTATGATGAGTACCATTTAATAAAGAAATAATATAAATTCCCAAAACTAAAATTTGGAAAAAAAAAAAAAAAAAAAAAAAATTCTAAATTGTTATTTTATTTACAAATGCAAAAATATTTTGGAAATTTAACTTAGAATCCTCATTGTTTGAAAAACAAGAACGTTAACGTCGCTTTCAAGTGGAATTTTTTTTTATCATATTAAATGGAAAATTTATTTTTTCTTGATCACTGACATGAGATAAAGAATGTTCTATCACCTATCACTTCTAAAATATTCATGATAAAAAGTAAAGCACACTGGGATAGGATAAACACAGATGCTTTAAAAAAAAAAAAAAAAGAGAGAGAGAGAGAGAGAAGAAGAAGAGTAGATGAAAAACAGCTATCAGTATTGGAGAGAAGGATTAAGTATATTTTAGCAGGTAATTCACAATTCTTTCTGGAGTTTACAAAAATTATAGCAGTGATCGCCAATGAGGTCTTTTTCTATAGCCTATGATTAAATTGACAAAATTAAAGTATCAGTTAATTCCTGAATTGTTGAATATTATTCAACATACATTCATCTTTCATACAGAAATTATTTGGAATTAATACCACGAGAACCTTGAAATTCATGAATCAGGTTTTATTATTTACACACACAAATTCTTAAATATTTGTTTCACA